AACAACAACAACAACAACAACAACAACAACAACAACAACAACAACAACAACAACAACAACAACAACAACAACAACAACAACAACAACAACAACAACAACAACAACAACAACAACAACAACAACAACAACAACAACAACAACAACAACAACAACAACAACAACAACAACAACAACAACAACAACAACAACAACAACAACAACAACAACAACAACAACAACAACAACAACAACAACAACAACAACAACAACAACAACAACAACAACAACAACAACAACAACAACAACAACAACAACAACAACAACAACAACAACAACAACAACAACAACAACAACAACAACAACAACAACAACAACAACAACAACAACAACAACAACAACAACAACAACAACAACAACAACAACAACAACAACAACAACAACAACAACAACAACAACAACAACAACAACAACAACAACAACAACAACAACAACAACAACAACAACAACAACAACAACAACAACAACAACAACAACAACAACAACAACAACAACAACAACAACAACAACAACAACAACAACAACAACAACAACAACAACAACAACAACAACAACAACAACAACAACAACAACAACAACAACAACAACAACAACAACAACAACAACAACAACAACAACAACAACAACAACAACAACAACAACAACAACAACAACAACAACAACAACAACAACAACAACAACAACAACAACAACAACAACAACAACAACAACAACAACAACAACAACAACAACAACAACAACAACAACAACAACAACAACAACAACAACAACAACAACAACAACAACAACAACAACAACAACAACAACAACAACAACAACAACAACAACAACAACAACAACAACAACAACAACAACAACAACAACAACAACAACAACAACAACAACAACAACAACAACAACAACAACAACAACAACAACAACAACAACAACAACAACAACAACAACAACAACAACAACAACAACAACAACAACAACAACAACAACAACAACAACAACAACAACAACAACAACAACAACAACAACAACAACAACAACAACAACAACAACAACAACAACAACAACAACAACAACAACAACAACAACAACAACAACAACAACAACAACAACAACAACAACAACAACAACAACAACAACAACAACAACAACAACAACAACAACAACAACAACAACAACAACAACAACAACAACAACAACAACAACAACAACAACAACAACAACAACAACAACAACAACAACAACAACAACAACAACAACAACAACAACAACAACAACAACAACAACAACAACAACAACAACAACAACAACAACAACAACAACAACAACAACAACAACAACAACAACAACAACAACAACAACAACAACAACAACAACAACAACAACAACAACAACAACAACAACAACAACAACAACAACAACAACAACAACAACAACAACAACAACAACAACAACAACAACAACAACAACAACAACAACAACAACAACAACAACAACAACAACAACAACAACAACAACAACAACAACAACAACAACAACAACAACAACAACAACAACAACAACAACAACAACAACAACAACAACAACAACAACAACAACAACAACAACAACAACAACAACAACAACAACAACAACAACAACAACAACAACAACAACAACAACAACAACAACAACAACAACAACAACAACAACAACAACAACAACAACAACAACAACAACAACAACAACAACAACAACAACAACAACAACAACAACAACAACAACAACAACAACAACAACAACAACAACAACAACAACAACAACAACAACAACAACAACAACAACAACAACAACAACAACAACAACAACAACAACAACAACAACAACAACAACAACAACAACAACAACAACAACAACAACAACAACAACAACAACAACAACAACAACAACAACAACAACAACAACAACAACAACAACAACAACAACAACAACAACAACAACAACAACAACAACAACAACAACAACAACAACAACAACAACAACAACAACAACAACAACAACAACAACAACAACAACAACAACAACAACAACAACAACAACAACAACAACAACAACAACAACAACAACAACAACAACAACAACAACAACAACAACAACAACAACAACAACAACAACAACAACAACAACAACAACAACAACAACAACAACAACAACAACAACAACAACAACAACAACAACAACAACAACAACAACAACAACAACAACAACAACAACAACAACAACAACAACAACAACAACAACAACAACAACAACAACAACAACAACAACAACAACAACAACAACAACAACAACAACAACAACAACAACAACAACAACAACAACAACAACAACAACAACAACAACAACAACAACAACAACAACAACAACAACAACAACAACAACAACAACAACAACAACAACAACAACAACAACAACAACAACAACAACAACAACAACAACAACAACAACAACAACAACAACAACAACAACAACAACAACAACAACAACAACAACAACAACAACAACAACAACAACAACAACAACAACAACAACAACAACAACAACAACAACAACAACAACAACAACAACAACAACAACAACAACAACAACAACAACAACAACAACAACAACAACAACAACAACAACAACAACAACAACAACAACAACAACAACAACAACAACAACAACAACAACAACAACAACAACAACAACAACAACAACAACAACAACAACAACAACAACAACAACAACAACAACAACAACAACAACAACAACAACAACAACAACAACAACAACAACAACAACAACAACAACAACAACAACAACAACAACAACAACAACAACAACAACAACAACAACAACAACAACAACAACAACAACAACAACAACAACAACAACAACAACAACAACAACAACAACAACAACAACAACAACAACAACAACAACAACAACAACAACAACAACAACAACAACAACAACAACAACAACAACAACAACAACAACAACAACAACAACAACAACAACAACAACAACAACAACAACAACAACAACAACAACAACAACAACAACAACAACAACAACAACAACAACAACAACAACAACAACAACAACAACAACAACAACAACAACAACAACAACAACAACAACAACAACAACAACAACAACAACAACAACAACAACAACAACAACAACAACAACAACAACAACAACAACAACAACAACAACAACAACAACAACAACAACAACAACAACAACAACAACAACAACAACAACAACAACAACAACAACAACAACAACAACAACAACAACAACAACAACAACAACAACAACAACAACAACAACAACAACAACAACAACAACAACAACAACAACAACAACAACAACAACAACAACAACAACAACAACAACAACAACAACAACAACAACAACAACAACAACAACAACAACAACAACAACAACAACAACAACAACAACAACAACAACAACAACAACAACAACAACAACAACAACAACAACAACAACAACAACAACAACAACAACAACAACAACAACAACAACAACAACAACAACAACAACAACAACAACAACAACAACAACAACAACAACAACAACAACAACAACAACAACAACAACAACAACAACAACAACAACAACAACAACAACAACAACAACAACAACAACAACAACAACAACAACAACAACAACAACAACAACAACAACAACAACAACAACAACAACAACAACAACAACAACAACAACAACAACAACAACAACAACAACAACAACAACAACAACAACAACAACAACAACAACAACAACAACAACAACAACAACAACAACAACAACAACAACAACAACAACAACAACAACAACAACAACAACAACAACAACAACAACAACAACAACAACAACAACAACAACAACAACAACAACAACAACAACAACAACAACAACAACAACAACAACAACAACAACAACAACAACAACAACAACAACAACAACAACAACAACAACAACAACAACAACAACAACAACAACAACAACAACAACAACAACAACAACAACAACAACAACAACAACAACAACAACAACAACAACAACAACAACAACAACAACAACAACAACAACAACAACAACAACAACAACAACAACAACAACAACAACAACAACAACAACAACAACAACAACAACAACAACAACAACAACAACAACAACAACAACAACAACAACAACAACAACAACAACAACAACAACAACAACAACAACAACAACAACAACAACAACAACAACAACAACAACAACAACAACAACAACAACAACAACAACAACAACAACAACAACAACAACAACAACAACAACAACAACAACAACAACAACAACAACAACAACAACAACAACAACAACAACAACAACAACAACAACAACAACAACAACAACAACAACAACAACAACAACAACAACAACAACAACAACAACAACAACAACAACAACAACAACAACAACAACAACAACAACAACAACAACAACAACAACAACAACAACAACAACAACAACAACAACAACAACAACAACAACAACAACAACAACAACAACAACAACAACAACAACAACAACAACAACAACAACAACAACAACAACAACAACAACAACAACAACAACAACAACAACAACAACAACAACAACAACAACAACAACAACAACAACAACAACAACAACAACAACAACAACAACAACAACAACAACAACAACAACAACAACAACAACAACAACAACAACAACAACAACAACAACAACAACAACAACAACAACAACAACAACAACAACAACAACAACAACAACAACAACAACAACAACAACAACAACAACAACAACAACAACAACAACAACAACAACAACAACAACAACAACAACAACAACAACAACAACAACAACAACAACAACAACAACAACAACAACAGCGACTCGAACAGCATGAAGCGCAAGAAGAAGACGCGCACCGTGTTCTCGAGGACTCAAGTCTTCCAGCTCGAGAGCACGTTTGACATGAAGCGCTACCTGTCCTCCTCGGAGAGGGCCGCTCTCGCTACCTCGCTGAGACTCACCGAGACTCAGGTGAGAAGAAATTTCTTTTTCTTTTTTTTTACTCGAAGAGTCATAACATTAACGTGAGTCTATAAGGCATGAAATACCCCAGGGTTATCTGTAAGACAGATGAGCCTGAGTCAGCCCTAATTTTGACCTCACCCCTTGCATTTGTTGTGTTCCCGGGTGCGGTCGTAGGTGAAGATCTGGTTCCAGAATCGGCGCAACAAGTGGAAGCGCCAGCTGGCCGCGGAGCTCGAGACGAACAGCATAGTTCACGCGCAGCGGCTGGTGCGCGTGCCGATCCTTTACCACGAGGTTTTCTAAAATAAAGCTTATTTTTTTGTATAAAATAAGGAATTACAAGTAGAAGTAAGCTTCTTGATAATATCAAAAAAGTTTAGGTGTACCACGTAATATTTTGGTATAAGCTGTCGAAAAGTTGATTATGTATGAAAAAACACAGGTTACTTGTGCTATGGCAGCGTCATGATTTAATGTTTGTAGGTCCGATGGTCTGATGTTACGCAATCAGACAGTACACGTGTGATGAGCCTCCTTAATCATACTGATATGGTAAGAGATTTGCGCTTTATAAATAAGTTCAATGTACTGAACCTTCTAGCTTTTTTTTCATTTCTTGTCTAATACTACAGTATTCAAAAAATTAAAATCTCATTCTTACGTTAGTAAAGGAAAAAAGATAAAGATTTGCACTGAATTATCACGCTCAACTTGTAAGACTTTTCTGCATTTACAATTTTTTTTGTTTGATCTGGTAATGAAATTTTCATAGAATTCATTTTAAGTTCTTTTTCGAAAAATTAAAAGAGTAAGAGAACTGTTCTGAATAAATGCACTCAACGCGCTTAATCTACTCACCGTATGTTTCTTTGAAATTAGGCGATAAAGTTTCAAGTTATTCGAATCTTATCCGTTTACAGTAACAATTAAACAGTAAAAGGGCTAGGCTGTACCGACATTCTTAACGAACTTAAACTCATCGCCTTTTTGTTTTTTTTTTCCAGGTAGAAAAATAAAAAATAAATGGCAATTTTTTTTTAGTTAGTTTCTAATAGACAAAGAAATTTCGCTAAATAATCTTATACAAAGCGGGTTATCTGCTCATCTTTTTTTTCAGGCTTATGAAAATTTCTCGAAAAAATTTTTAATAAATCCTTTTTCAGCTAAATCAAAAATTAATTGAGCATCACTAGATGATTACTGTCAACGCGCATACTCTTCTCGACGGTTTTTCTGTTGAATACCGTGCTTATGGAGATTTTGTCTCGGCGATTTCTATGGATCAAGATTCCTAGGAAGCTTCTGGCTTCACCTATTTCAGTCATTTTGAATTCCTTTTGCAGTTAATATTTAGTTCTGTTTAACTTTCGAATGTAGTTTCCTGTGATAATAATGTCATCTACATACAATAGCAAGATAACGAATTTTCCTTTCACTTGCTAAGTGAACAGACACGGTTCAGTGGCGTGGGTAATTAATCCAGTTTTTACAACTGATTGTGTAAAATGCTCATCCCAGCGTTTTAGACTTATTTTCAGTTTATACAGTGACCATTGTAGTTTGCACACTTTCGTTTTTCGATTGTTAATTGAATTTTCTATTTCTTTATAGATTTCCATAAATATATCCTCTTCAATTTTACCGTTCAGAAGCACAGTCTTGACATCCAATTGACAGGTTTCCAAGTCGAATTTGTCGATAATGGCAAACACTGCTTTTACTAGGGCAAGTCTAGAGACCGGAGCGTAAGTTTTCTGCTGATCATATTGGTTTGTGTCTTCGAAACCTTGAACCACCAGTCAAACTTTTTACTTGACTTTACCGCCTTGATCAGTTTCCTTCTTGAAAACCCATCTTGAGTCGATGGTGTTTGATTTTTTACTGGATTTGATTCTTACAGGACGATCCGCTATTTTCCGAACTTGATTTTTCTTCATGAAATCCAACTAATTTTCAACAGCTTGCTTCCACAAATGTCTGTCGTCAGAAACCATAACTTCTCTGTAAGTAGAAGGATCTGTATGGATCTCGGCTAGTAATACATAAAACAGTTCTTCTGTCACAGATATATTCAAATTAGGCTAATTGTTGTTTATTACAAAATTTAAATCTATTTTTGCCAATAAAGTTTGAGAGACTTTATCATTGGTTTATTTAGATTTATTTGAAAAGTTCTTATCTCCTCTGTCAAAGCCAAAATCAACCTTCCTTCTGTTATTACTATTGGTGAGTACATCTGTAAAGCTGGAGTCATTTACATGGTAATTATTCAAATTTATAATTTTGTGAGGTCTTCCTCGTTTCCTTTTCACAATTTGGCTATCGTTGTTTTTGTAATTGGAGTTCAAATGTTCCTTTTCATCTTCAAATGCTTTGAAAAATTCACTTTATCCACAGTTTTAGATAGATTTTCTAAATTCAAAAGACTATTTTTCTTGTACAAGTTATCGTATACCAGCTTTTCATTAAAACGAACGTCTCTGCTTTCATAGTATTTTCGTTCTTCAGGCTTCCACAATATATATCCAGTTCTGGTGTACCTGATCAAGAACACTCTTTTCCCAATGTATCTGAACTTGGGGCCAGTTTTCTCTTTCACAAGCATGTAGACCACACAACTAAAAGGTCAAATTTGATTTATATCAAAACTATATTTTTCTTCGAATTTTTCCAGTGGAGCCTGCATGTTATTTGACTTATGCGGTATCAGACTATAAGCGTAGACAGCTGCTGCCAGAGCCAGATCCCACATGTTTTCCGGAAGACCTGAGTCGTACAGAAGGCATCTCGTCTTGACTTGGATGACTCGGTTAAACCTTTCTGCTTTACCGTTGTGTTCTGGTGTGTCCAGGCACACAAGTTATAGTTCTGCATTTAATCTGTCTAGCACTTCACGAGTGCAGCCGCCTGTCAGTTCAGTGCCTTGATCTGATTTATGCACACTTTGGCGTCGAATCCTAGAATATTTTTAGTTGATTTTACAAATAATTCAAAACACTTTCCAGTTTCACTTCTTTCTGTCAGGGGTATGCCATTGCAAGTCTTGAATAATCATCAACGAATACAGATATAAATCTATATCTCTTCACATAAAATGGCGGGTTAATGATACCCATGGTGTCAGCATGGATAATCTGGAGAGGTATTGAGGCTCTGGTTTGAATATTCTTAAAAGGCAGCTTGGTAGCTTTCAATATTTTACAAATTTCACAGTCCAAGACTGAATCGTAAAAGATAGCGTCATTTTAAGGACTGGTTACTAGAGAAACAATTTTTCAGTACCTTTAGATAATCTACCAATGCGTGACAAAAATCACCGTGCCACATCATGGCCTTGTTATTTTTGAAAAACCAAACGTAATTTTTTTCACCAGAGGAACCGTCAATTACTGTACTTTCAGTTTTAGTTTCAACGGGATTACAAACTCTCCTACCACAAATTGTTTGTTCAAAGTTTTCTATTTTCGTGTCAGATAAATTTTTCTGTATAGGATTCTTACTCAACTCATTATCATTCAAATCCTGATTCATTTCTATTATCGATGATGTCGTTTACTGTCTGATGAACTAATCGTCTCATGGTCGTTTAGTTTATGCTCATTTAGTTCTATTTTTATTAAATTTAGAAGCAACCCTTTACGTCAAGTACCTGGGTTATTGATTATTTGAACAAGCCGTCAGTTCATTCTCAGAAGTATTTTTTATTTAAGAGATTTATTGCCACGGACCCATAAGGTTGTTGGTAATTTCTCAAGATAATTGACTCTCTGGATTTTGGGTCAAATATATGGATATGTTAATCTTCTAAATATATGGATAAACCTTCATCAAAAAGCTTTTGAAGTGACAACAGGTTTTCAACCAGTTGTTCAGAGCGAATTGCCTTATCAAATTCAATTCTATTATTGTTTACAAATCTTCTGATTTTGCCAACTCCCTGTGTTTGCAAATTGGTTGTCAAATCTTTGTTTGCGCATTTAATTTTACTGAAATTTCCAAATTTTAAGGACTCAAAATAATTTTTTGAATATGCNTTGATTTAACATTTTGTTTAGTTCTCAGCCTAAAAATTTTTTTTGGTTTTTCACTTATTTTTGAGAAGTTTATTTTATTATCTCAGTATAAAAAAAGTGTTGACTTAATTGGTCTGATTCCTACTATTGATGCATTCAATCCGTAGTCAATTCTAGGATCAATTGATTTTGGACGCGTGATAGGGTTCAAACTCACAGTTGCTTCTAAACGGTGAGACTCTTTCTTGTTTTTTGGAGAGTTAGAGCGAGAGTCTTGGAATCGTACTTAATTTTAATTCTAATATTGTTTTTGATGGTAGTTTCAAAATAAAGCTTGTAAACGGTAGGAATTACCTTGACTATGAGGATCAGGATACTACATGTATGGGTAGTAAGGTAGATAAAAAGGTGGTGGTTAAAAATATAGAAATTCAGAGTCATCTTGATATCATTTCCGTTGTAAAAATGTGGGAAAAAATTATTATTGTGAATTAATGGGTCATTAAAATTGACGTAATTTTTTTGGTGATCAAACTAAGTAGAAACAGAAACAGAAACTTCGTTCAAGCTCGGTACCAATGATTCAGGAGTTGTAGAAATCGAGACCGTGGGTACGGCCTCGTAAACGAACTTGGCCTGATCGTATACAAGTGTGCAAGTGTGTTAGGTACGTAAAGTAGCTTCTAAAGCTTTATGTACTCGTTAGTCGTAGAAGTCAAAAATAGTATAAAACTTAAAGATGGAGGGTGACAGAAGTTAAAAAAACGATTTTTTTTTTTCATGGTGCATTTTAATAGCATCAGAGTGGATAGAAGGGGCCTTCGATTTAACTAAGTCTAAAAATCAACGATTTTCTTGCAGACAACGGTAACAGCAAAGCAGTAGACTTGCAAGATAATGTTGTGTGTTATGATTTTATGAATAAGAACACGGCAAACAATACAACAGTACAATTTGGTTTTTTTTCACAAGTATAATTAAGTTTTTTGGACCAGTGACAATGAAAGCTCATGTTAGCAACAAAAGAAACGCTAAGTACAAATTAAATTGCAGTGGATTAAATTACAGAGTCCGCAATCAACCCCTTTGAAAATTACACAATCAATTTTGAATACAACGAAATAATTTGGTTATTACAATTTTTAAGTCGGTACTTATAATTAGAAATAGACAGTAAATGCGCAAGTAAACTATTGATTTATACATACAATAAAAAATGTATGCATTTATACATGTAACGTACAATTACAATATATACATGCATTCTAAAGAACGGCTGGTCGTATGTCA